ATTTCTTCACCTCCAGCTTACTCCTCAATCATTGACATTTGGCTTCTTTTCCCACCACGTGACCAACCTGCTCTGGCCTACATCCCTGGTGGCCTCCTTGTCACCACATCTAATGGGTACATGTTAGTTCTTTTTTTGTTTGCTCATGTAATGGGTTTAAACACTGTGAATCACCCCTTCCTTCTAGAAACCTTTCTTCCCTTGGGTAGAATGACACTAGATTTTCCTGGATTTCATCTTTCCTGTCTGATGCTGTTTTATTCTCTTTTTTTGTAGTCTACTTTAAATGCTCGAGCTTAAAGTTTATGCCCACTGCTCTGCTTATTCTAAATATTCTCCCTGAGTCATCTCATCCAATCCTATGGCTTCAATGACTAGATGCAGGCCACCAGGACCAATGACCATCTAATTTGTGGAGCCCAGGGCAAAATGAAAACCTGGGGTTGCTTGTTCAAAAATGATTAAGAATTTCAAGACAGGTGCGGGGTGCTTTGGGGCACAGGGCCCTGTGTGACTGCATGGGTTGAACGCCCCGGAAGCCAGCCTAGCCTGCCACTGACTCCAAATCTATGCCTTCATCCCACGCCTCTTGAGATTCTGAGCTATATCGCAACCTGTAAGTCAACACCTTGTATTTGTCTTTCCCCTCAAACATGTTCCCCCTTCACTCAGGAAACAGGTAACTCGGTTCCTTCAGCTGCTGAAGCCGGAACCTGAGAGTCAGATTTCCTTTTCCCTCTCTCAGGCTCTTTCTAACCCTACTAAAGGCCATCAAGTCTACCTTTGAATATCTCCAACCATGTCCGAAATCCACTCATGTCTCCCGCCCCACCGCCACTGTCGTCCGGCCACAGTAGATGACCACTCCACTGGACATCTGCAGCCCTGAACTGTCTGCCTGCTTTCTCCTTTCCAATCAAGTCTTCACTTTCCCTTCCAGAATAAATTTCACAACTGCAAATCTGATCACCTCAATCCCTGCTTACAATTCTCCAAAGGCTTCTCTTTGCCTCTAAGGTGAAGTCCAAGTGCCCTCCTGTGAGGCCTCTGTGATCTGCCCGACTCCCTCCCGGGCCTCATCTTTTGCCCTCTATCATGTTCTCATATGCCTGTGCTCTCGTGCCTCCGACCCCTCCTAGACACTGTTTCTTTGTCTGGAAGATCTCCCCTCGTCTCGTTCTCTGGACTCATCCTTTAGGTCCCTCTCCAGGGCAGCACTTCCTCCTTCCAGACTGAGTGAGCGCCCCCTGCTGGGCTCTCCCAGTAGGCTCCTGTCCACTTACCTGTGATGACCTGTCTCTTCTCCCTCTGGATACAGAAACTGTCTCACCGTCTACTCTATCCCCAGTACCTGGTCCAGTTTTGACACAGGGCAGGTGTTTAATAAGGCTTGTCAACCGAGCGAAGGACTCACTTGTTGAAGTGTTCCAGGAAGATGAGGCTGGTGGAGGTGCCAATGATGGTTGTGAGGCCCCCGATGGTCGCGGCATAGGAGATGCTCAAGGACAGGCACTTGCAGATCATTTGGTCATGCTGGGATCTGTACTTCCTGCTCAGCTCCTGGTTCCTGGGGCTGCGGGTCAGGACCAGTGGCTTTTCCTATCAAAGGAAAACCAGCAAGTCTCTGCAACCCAGCCTGGCTTTCTGGTACACCAAAAGCCTGAGAAGCAGGAGGCACCATGGGGCAGTGGTATCAAAAGACAAATCCAATCCCAGTTCTACCATTTACCAATGGGGCATATCTCCCAGCCTCAGTTTCTTCTTCTGTAAAATGGGGAAAATATTTTCTTTGCTGGATTGTTATGAAGAACAAATGATGTAACAATAGACCA